AGCCCGCCCGCTCCCGCAGCCGCCGCCACCGGCGGACGCAACCGACGGAGTGAACGCGGCGGCGCAGCGTTCGTCGCCGTCACCTAAACGCTCGGAAGATAGAATCATCAGCAGCCGCTGCAGCTCGCTGGCGACATCTTCCTCTACACGCACGACCACAACTTCATCACCTGTTTCATAGTGTACTCCGACTCTTTGTGATTGTTGGCCTTTATACGAGTTAGTATAATTTTTTTTTATTTTTCTTATAGGTTAAAAATTTTGAGTAAATAAATGCAGACATCCAGCTGATTAAACACACATATATATATGTATATATATATATATATATCGTAGGAAAAAGATTAAAATATCAAACTGCGCGTACAAATTAAAGATAATACAAACCGTAAGATCCAATTACTACAAAATTATACATATCCTTTTATCACAAAAAAATTATACATATCCTCATGCCTCATCCAAGTTTCAATAGAAATGGGCCTTAATAGAAGACGGCCCATTTTACCAAAGATTCTGAACCGACCCGACCCGACCCGAATGAGGCAAAAAAAAAATCTGTTTGAAAAAAATTAGAAACATAAAAACTAGTGGTGCGAATTCAACGGAATAAAAAAATACAAAAAAAAAAGATTTCGTGAACAGAGTCTTCCAAGGCTGAACTCCACTAGTCGAGCTCCGCCATGGCCACCATTGCTCCGGGAAGAGCCAACATAGGACCTCCATCGCCGTTTCTCGGAAAGAAGGTGAAGCACAAACCCTTCTCATGGAAACCCACTATCTTAAACCCTAGAAAAACTATCAGCACGGATTTTCGCGCCCAATTGGTCGATGCGGTTCGTGATCTCTTCGTGGGCGTCGGAGTCGGACTTCCATGTACGGTCATGGAGTGCGGAGACATAATCTATCGCAGCACCTTGCCGAAATCTAACGCTCTGACCGTCACTGCCCCTGGAGTGGCCTTGGCACTCACTGCTCTGTCGTATCTATGGGCGACACCTGGAGTGGCTCCTGGGTTCTTCGACATGTTTGTTCTTGCTTTTGTCGAGAGATTGTTCAGACCAACTTATAGGAAGGTAGCCCTGATTCTGTGTTTGGATCTGTCTCTGTCTTCCACAGTTTCTTGTGGTTATTAGGTTAGGTTTGGTTTTTCAGGATGATTTCGTTTTGGGGAAGAAATTGGGTGAAGGCTCGTTTGGTGTGGTGTATAGGGCCTCATTGTCCAAGAAACGTTCTTCTAAGGTACAGAAATGCTTGATGAAATTTTACATTCATTTTGTCTTTTACTTGTTCAGAACTGTGATTGAGATCTTGATCTTTGTAATATTTCGTTTGCTTATATTCACAATACTTTAAGAATTGTAGAGAATTTGCGTCATCCAGCCGGTTAATATGTTTGATGTATTTTTTCCTTGTGGGCGTGTATAGGAGGGTGAATATGTCTTGAAAAAGGCTACTGAGTATGGTGCAGTGGAAATTTGGATGAACGAACGAGCACGAAGGGCTTGTGCAAACAGCTGTGCCGATTTTGTTTATGGATTCCTCGAGGTACTTCTCCTCCTGTATTGAGTTTTTTTATAGGGAACTTGTGTTTGGAGTTGAAGATTAGTCACCTGTCTTTAAACTGATTACAGAATTCTTCAAAAAGAGGACCTGAATATTGGCTGATTTGGAAATACGAAGGAGAATCAACGCTTGCCGATTTGCTGCAGAGTAAAGAGTTCCCATATAATGTTTGTACTTACTCCTGTTTTTCCCCCTGCTGATTACGCAATATATGTAGTTAAATTCTAAGACGAAAGTGGGAAACTTTAGGTGGAAACTTTGATCCTGGGAAAAGTCCAAGATCTACCCAAAGGGATTGAAAGAGAAAATAGAATTATTCAGACCATCATGAGGCAACTCTTGTTTGCACTGGACAGTCTCCACTCAACTGGGATTGTCCATAGGGATGTCAAGCCTCAGAATATTATTTTTTCTGAAGGTAATTATCTTAATTCTTGAATCGTTTTGGGCAAAAGAACCCAGTCGAAGGATGATGATACGATTTTGGTGTCCCATTGAAACCTGGGCAGGTTCTCGTGCATTCAAGATCATCGATCTTGGAGCTGCAGCAGATCTCAGAGTGGGCATTAACTACATTCCAAAGGAGTTTCTCCTAGATCCCAGGTCTTACTCATTCGAAATTTTTTGTATATTACTTTGTTAAAGATCGTAATTCTGCAAGGTTCTCTCTTTTGGTTGTAAAATTCTGAAACAGCTGTAGCCAAGATGTCAGAGTGTTTTTCTTATTTTTATGCTGCTTTCAGATATGCAGCACCCGAGCAATACATCATGAGCACACAAACTCCATCTGCTCCTTCCGCACCTGTCGCCACTGCACTTTCACCAGTTCTATGGCAGGTGCAAGTTCACAACTACGCCATCTATAGTGAATACCAAAGCTATCCTGCTTTATTCGTAAACCAAAAATAATCGACTTTTGTGTTATGATTGTGTTCTAAAACAGATGAATTTGCCAGATAGGTTTGATATCTACAGTATAGGCCTCATCTTCCTTCAGATGGTGAGTACCAATCCACTAATCACTGTAGTGTTCTCTATCTATTTGTTTTCTTTCGTATGATGATCTCTTTGCAATATATGAGAGCTGACGATAAGTTTTGACAAGCATGTCCGTTTTAACTAAACTACCGGTTTTATGGTATTGTCAATTTATGTCCAAAACTAATTCGGTAAAAGGGATACAGGTACATATCAACTGTTAGCGATTTTCTCTTACCGAGCTTTCTTCTTCTACAGGCATTCCCATCCTTGCGTTCAGACAGCAGTCTTATCCAGTTTAACCGTCAGCTCAAAAGATGCGAGTATGACTTAAATGCGTGGAGAAAGCTGGTGGAGGCCCGAGCAAGCCCTGATCTCCGAAAAGGGTTCGAGTTATTAGATTTAGATGGTGGGATCGGATGGGAACTACTGACATCGATGGTCAGATACAAAGCCAGACAAAGAATTAGCGCGAAAGCAGCTCTAGCTCACCCGTACTTTGATAGAGAAGGGTTACTTGCATTGTCCTTCATGCAGAACATGAGGCTTCAGTTCTTTAGGGCTACCCAACAAGATTACAGTGAAACTGCGAACTGGGTTATTCAGTTAATGGCGAAATCTGGAACAGAGAAAGACGGTGGCTTTACAGAAGCACAGCTACAGGAGCTTAGGGTTTGTGATCTATCTTCACTTCTGTGTTTTTTTTGCTTCGGATCGTTACATGTCTTTCTCTTGCAGGGTCCTTCATGACGATCTATTGTGTTGTTTTTGTCATAATTTTCTGTTTTCTTAACTAAAGTTCTGATTATGTTATATAGGAGAAAGAGCCTCGGAAGAAGGCGAGTGCACAGAGGAATGCCCTTGCTTCAGCTCTACGGATTCAGAGGAAGCTCGTGAAAACCCTAAACGACACAGTGGATGAACTCAACGAACGCAGCAAGACCGTATGGTGGAGCAGGTGGATCCCTAGAGAGGAATGAGTAGAAGCTGTACGTATATACGGTATATATATAAATATATATAGCATTTTCCATATTAAGTTCGATAATGTAAATTGCAATGTATATCTTGTTTAACCCAAGATATCTTCTCTACATGTGTAAATCAAGTAACCTTGGAGAAAACCCGAAATGTCCATAAACACGTATACATACACCTGCAATCCCTATTATTGAACAAGTATTGATTTTGGTAAACTGCGTATTTGGTGAGAGAGAGGGAGGGAGGAATGCAGGTTTCTTGAATGGCACGGTACCTCCTAACTGGTTATTTGAGGTTGTTCTCGACCGTGTCATGGCTCTGTTGTACCGGTCAAGTAAAATTTCATATGCGTACACCACGGCATTTATATAAATAAACTATTCCATGAAATTTTTGATGGTTTACAATATATATACACAGATGAAGAATGGAAAACGAATCATATTTTCCATTTAGAGTTACCCTTTGGGAAAAGCTCTCTGTTGAATTTAGACACCGTAGATGGGCATTCGCTCTTCGATCAGGACACGACATACAGGGCATTTCTTGCATTTCTCGCAGCAATGTCTGAAAAAAATACCCACATCGAGCGTTTTATCTTACATATATATATGAACGAAGAGTTTCCTTCGAGAAGTTACCTGCAGAGGAAGTGATGCCTACAAGGAAGTAGAACCACGTTGATCGAATATTCGAAGCAAATTCTACACAGAATCTTCTCCTGAAAGGACATTCCCACACAATTAGCAAGTTTTCTACTTGGATTAATTAGCGATGGATGCATATCGGTCGGGTATCTGAGATCCGAATGCTGAGCTCTAGTGAGTACCCAAGATTTCGAGAATCCGACTGGCGGGTCAGACGGGTACTCAGCCATTTCGGTGCCCGGACCCACCCAGGCAGATTTTCAAGTTCTCAACAAACCAAAAAAGAAAAGAAAAGAAAAGAAAAACAAGGCATGGAATGGAGTCATGGTTTTTTACGTGTTGAAGCCTTTCGTACTCCTGCCGGCTGTAATTGGTGATCTCTGTTTGCTCGCTCAATGCAGCCTGTAGTCTCCATATCTGATTAAGATGAAAAGTAGACGTTAAGTGTCCAAGACTTTATTTCAGATACTTGTCCGTTTAGTGGCTATGCAGCTTCGGCTCACAGGCAGGGAGGGAGTTCAAATAACTGTTTCTACCTCTTCAACAAGATCAGATTTCGGCATTTTCTTCATGGCGTCCGGAGAGAACGTGTTATATCTGAAAGATTCGAGACCAGAGAAGATACGTCAAAAGATAAAGACGATCTTTTTACATAATTGTAGATGATTACAGATGAGATACATTACCCTGACGCTTGGCCAGAATAGAGTCTAGCTTGTTCCTCTCGGCTTCCCTCGTCAATAGACCACCAACCCAGTAGCCTGTCAGATGCAAGAAAGTAATATGTAAGTTCGGATTTGAAGATTTTCAAAGTCGGTTTCATTCTTTGCCCAATAGTTGCAATTCGGTAAGGCGTTTAGAGGGCAGCATTCGAATGTAAATCTGGTTTTAGTTTGTATTATGAATATAGAATACATATTTCCTATTCCACTTTTGAATTCTTTCAAGAATTCAAAATGGTATCTGAACAGACATTTATTCTGTGTAAATTTCGTCTCTTTAATTATCAGTTTCAAACACAAGTTATTAAAGTTTCAAACACAAGTTATTAAAGTTTCAAACACAAGTTTGTACCTTGCACCATGGTGAAAGAAACCAAAGAATTCACGAGCCGAGGATGTAGCAGCAAAGTATCTTCCATAAGAACCATTCCCATTATGTAACAACAGGACTAATTTCTCGACCAACTTATATGTCGCGAACAACATCCCGGCTCCTTGAAGCAGGAATAGGGGTATAAATAGAACTAGGATCGGTATTTTTCTTGCAGCAGAAGGTGTTCCCTGCCATTCAAACAGAAAAAAAAAACACTCGAGAATGAGAATGAGCGACGAAAAGCTGAGGAATACAAGCAACTCATTTTTATTACAGCATGTACCTCTAAGTGCATGAAAAGGAGTATCTGGAAAGTAATGAAAGGAATTTTCATAACATGCCCGCCAATATCTTGGAGACTGCACATACTGTTGTTTTCCTGATTGTCTTCATCATTGGTTACGACAAGACCTCTGTTCCAGTCAAGGTATCTCACAATCATATGAGATGTTCCAGGTTCGGGTATATGTGAATACCTATGAATTGATGGATTGCTCCACTTTGTGCAGACAAGAAAAGCAAAGCACTCTGCTATTCTGTAGAACAGGAGAAAGAAGATCTTCCGTGACGGCGGAGAGAAATTCAGGGGAAGAAAGAGGATAGTCCAAGAAGAGAGAAAAAAAAATGAAATGTACCCAAAGTTTACGAATAAGTCCCACCATCCTAATGCAGCTACATCACCTATGCGTAGAACCGAGATATCAAAGATTCAGATAGAAAATAAGCTGAAACAAGATATAACAAGAAGGCATTGTGTGTATAATCTATATAGAGCTATCCTATTCCTATCTCCCTGGGCATGGAATAGAACATTTGCTCAAAAAAGCAGTAACGTACCACATAGCTTCAGAAGAGTGAAAGTGGTGGCAGCAATGAAGAAAACCATCGATATCGAAACCCAAAAATGCTACAAAATAAACGACACGTCAGAGCATAAATCTGCAAGAAAAGAGAAATATATATTGCAGATATGCCTCATGTAAAGATCATATTCCTACTTTCTGTGGCATTCTGGTTGTGGAAATATAAACTTACAGGAAGCGTCTCCCATATGGCTTCATCACTCATTGTTTCCTCATCTCCAGGCATGAGCGTCCTGCATATTCTGCACAGAAAATCAACTCGTCACTGAAAGGAAGAAATGAACCAGGAAAAAGATGGTATTGGGCTGAAGGCTTTAGAGGAAGTACCTGACATTATCAATCAAAATTGCTACCTCAAATGCAAGCAAGGGAAAGAAGACGATCTTCAAGTCTACAACTGTAACAGAGGTACAACCAGAACTGAATAAGTAGTACATATTATCAAAAGATAATGAAGAACTTGAAGATTCAACTAGTAAGCATGATTTTCATGGAAGATAATAGAATCAACCATTGCTATCTTCCAGATGAACACAAAGCAGAAGCTCAAAAGCAACAAGCAATGGCGTCGCCATGACCGAATGGAACGGGGCCCACTGCCACAAGAACCAAATCAAAGAATCTTTCAGTTTATGTTTGATCAGGACAACATGTTACTACCACCATGCTAACCGAAGAAAGTTATAACACAGACAGGAAAGAGACGGAGAAAACTGTCATACATGTCGATCACGAGGCATTGATGGAGCAGGCAGGGAAAATCTACCGCGTGCAACCACAGCATGAAATAGCAACAATGGTGCAAATACAATCCTGTAAACCAAAAAAAAAAGAACAATAGAGCAGTTGAACTGGAAAGTCACAACTCTATCTTGTCTTGAACCCTAAGACGGTAAAGACGATCAACTTTCAATTTCAGATTCGTCGGAAAAAAAAACAAGGATTCGAGCAACAAAACCAAACAGGGATTGGAGTTAGAAGACGATCCCAGTACCACGAACTCAAAGCTCGTTCCATTACAACCTTAAATCCGAAAAATTCAAACTTCTGTCCAAATATATTACGTAATCATTAACAAGCCTTAGATCCAAGGTAGAAACTCAACGTAGTTTCCAGATAAACTGGCATAATTCCCGATTATCCGAGAAACCAAACAGAGGTCAAGTCACAAAACCACAAAAAGAAGAAAGAAACAATTAACTGACCACCATGAATGGGAGAAGACATGATCAAGCTTCAGAGCGAGAAGAAGGGTGAAGGAGAAGAGCAAACCATGCGCCATCACAGCCTGCATCGACTTCCACACTCTCCTCCAGCACATTAATCTCCTCTGCACCAACATTTTCTCCCTAAACAATTTTTACATAAATATCCTAATCTCCAAAATCAAATCCTTACATACAGCTTCTCAATCAAAATCCGATTATCAATTCCGCGAAACTTTGTTGGGGAAGTAGAGAATTTTCAGATGCAGTAGAGCAAATGGGAAGCAAGAAAACAGCGATCATTCTCTGGTCAAAACGACGCATTCGTTTCCACGCTAAAGCAAGTCTCCGACTTTTGTAAGCTTTGACTAAAATACCCTCCAAGTGCTGAAAGAAACCAAAGAATTCACGAGCCGAGGATGTAGCAGCAAAGTATCTTCCATAAGAACCATTCCCATTATGTAACAACAGGACTAATTTCTCGACCAACTTATATGTCGCGAACAACATCCCGGCTCCTTGAAGCAGGAATAGGGGTATAAATAGAACTAGGATCGGTATTTTTCTTGCAGCAGAAGGTGTTCCCTGCCATTCAAACAGAAAAAAAAAACACTCGAGAATGAGAATGAGCGACGAAAAGCTGAGGAATACAAGCAACTCATTTTTATTACAGCATGTACCTCTAAGTGCATGAAAAGGAGTATCTGGAAAGTAATGAAAGGAATTTTCATAACATGCCCGCCAATATCTTGGAGACTGCACATACTGTTGTTTTCCTGATTGTCTTCATCATTGGTTACGACAAGACCTCTGTTCCAGTCAAGGTATCTCACAATCATATGAGATGTTCCAGGTTCGGGTATATGTGAATACCTATGAATTGATGGATTGCTCCACTTTGTGCAGACAAGAAAAGCAAAGCACTCTGCTATTCTGTAGAACAGGAGAAAGAAGATCTTCCGTGACGGCGGAGAGAAATTCAGGGGAAGAAAGAGGATAGTCCAAGAAGAGAGAAAAAAAAATGAAATGTACCCAAAGTTTACGAATAAGTCCCACCATCCTAATGCAGCTACATCACCTATGCGTAGAACCGAGATATCAAAGATTCAGATAGAAAATAAGCTGAAACAAGATATAACAAGAAGGCATTGTGTGTATAATCTATATAGAGCTATCCTATTCCTATCTCCCTGGGCATGGAATAGAACATTTGCTCAAAAAAGCAGTAACGTACCACATAGCTTCAGAAGAGTGAAAGTGGTGGCAGCAATGAAGAAAACCATCGATATCGAAACCCAAAAATGCTACAAAATAAACGACACGTCAGAGCATAAATCTGCAAGAAAAGAGAAATATATATTGCAGATATGCCTCATGTAAAGATCATATTCCTACTTTCTGTGGCATTCTGGTTGTGGAAATATAAACTTACAGGAAGCGTCTCCCATATGGCTTCATCACTCATTGTTTCCTCATCTCCAGGCATGAGCGTCCTGCATATTCTGCACAGAAAATCAACTCGTCACTGAAAGGAAGAAATGAACCAGGAAAAAGATGGTATTGGGCTGAAGGCTTTAGAGGAAGTACCTGACATTATCAATCAAAATTGCTACCTCAAATGCAAGCAAGGGAAAGAAGACGATCTTCAAGTCTACAACTGTAACAGAGGTACAACCAGAACTGAATAAGTAGTACATATTATCAAAAGATAATGAAGAACTTGAAGATTCAACTAGTAAGCATGATTTTCATGGAAGATAATAGAATCAACCATTGCTATCTTCCAGATGAACACAAAGCAGAAGCTCAAAAGCAACAAGCAATGGCGTCGCCATGACCGAATGGAACGGGGCCCACTGCCACAAGAACCAAATCAAAGAATCTTTCAGTTTATGTTTGATCAGGACAACATGTTACTACCACCATGCTAACCGAAGAAAGTTATAACACAGACAGGAAAGAGACGGAGAAAACTGTCATACATGTCGATCACGAGGCATTGATGGAGCAGGCAGGGAAAATCTACCGCGTGCAACCACAGCATGAAATAGCAACAATGGTGCAAATACAATCCTGTAAACCAAAAAAAAAAGAACAATAGAGCAGTTGAACTGGAAAGTCACAACTCTATCTTGTCTTGAACCCTAAGACGGTAAAGACGATCAACTTTCAATTTCAGATTCGTCGGAAAAAAAAACAAGGATTCGAGCAACAAAACCAAACAGGGATTGGAGTTAGAAGACGATCCCAGTACCACGAACTCAAAGCTCGTTCCATTACAACCTTAAATCCGAAAAATTCAAACTTCTGTCCAAATATATTACGTAATCATTAACAAGCCTTAGATCCAAGGTAGAAACTCAACGTAGTTTCCAGATAAACTGGCATAATTCCCGATTATCCGAGAAACCAAACAGAGGTCAAGTCACAAAACCACAAAAAGAAGAAAGAAACAATTAACTGACCACCATGAATGGGAGAAGACATGATCAAGCTTCAGAGCGAGAAGAAGGGTGAAGGAGAAGAGCAAACCATGCGCCATCACAGCCTGCATCGACTTCCACACTCTCCTCCAGCACATTAATCTCCTCTGCACCAACATTTTCTCCCTAAACAATTTTTACATAAATATCCTAATCTCCAAAATCAAATCCTTACATACAGCTTCTCAATCAAAATCCGATTATCAATTCCGCGAAACTTTGTTGGGGAAGTAGAGAATTTTCAGATGCAGTAGAGCAAATGGGAAGCAAGAAAACAGCGATCATTCTCTGGTCAAAACGACGCATTCGTTTCCACGCTAAAGCAAGTCTCCGACTTTTGTAAGCTTTGACTAAAATACCCTCCAAGTGCTGAACCATACGATTTTGGTGTCCCATTGAAACCTGGGCAGGTTCTCGTGCATTCAAGATCATCGATCTTGGAGCTGCAGCAGATCTCAGAGTGGGCATTAACTACATTCCAAAGGAGTTTCTCCTAGATCCCAGGTCTTACTCATTCGAAATTTTTTGTATATTACTTTGTTAAAGATCGTAATTCTGCAAGGTTCTCTCTTTTGGTTGTAAAATTCTGAAACAGCTGTAGCCAAGATGTCAGAGTGTTTTTCTTATTTTTATGCTGCTTTCAGATATGCAGCACCCGAGCAATACATCATGAGCACACAAACTCCATCTGCTCCTTCCGCACCTGTCGCCACTGCACTTTCACCAGTTCTATGGCAGGTGCAAGTTCACAACTACGCCATCTATAGTGAATACCAAAGCTATCCTGCTTTATTCGTAAACCAAAAATAATCGACTTTTGTGTTATGATTGTGTTCTAAAACAGATGAATTTGCCAGATAGGTTTGATATCTACAGTATAGGCCTCATCTTCCTTCAGATGGTGAGTACCAATCCACTAATCACTGTAGTGTTCTCTATCTATTTGTTTTCTTTCGTATGATGATCTCTTTGCAATATATGAGAGCTGACGATAAGTTTTGACAAGCATGTCCGTTTTAACTAAACTACCGGTTTTATGGTATTGTCAATTTATGTCCAAAACTAATTCGGTAAAAGGGATACAGGTACATATCAACTGTTAGCGATTTTCTCTTACCGAGCTTTCTTCTTCTACAGGCATTCCCATCCTTGCGTTCAGACAGCAGTCTTATCCAGTTTAACCGTCAGCTCAAAAGATGCGAGTATGACTTAAATGCGTGGAGAAAGCTGGTGGAGGCCCGAGCAAGCCCTGATCTCCGAAAAGGGTTCGAGTTATTAGATTTAGATGGTGGGATCGGATGGGAACTACTGACATCGATGGTCAGATACAAAGCCAGACAAAGAATTAGCGCGAAAGCAGCTCTAGCTCACCCGTACTTTGATAGAGAAGGGTTACTTGCATTGTCCTTCATGCAGAACATGAGGCTTCAGTTCTTTAGGGCTACCCAACAAGATTACAGTGAAACTGCGAACTGGGTTATTCAGTTAATGGCGAAATCTGGAACAGAGAAAGACGGTGGCTTTACAGAAGCACAGCTACAGGAGCTTAGGGTTTGTGATCTATCTTCACTTCTGTGTTTTTTTTGCATTTTTTTCTGAGAGGAGGGTACTCCATGAAGTACAGGTAGCAATTTAAAGGCATTTTTGATAATGCCCCATCCGAACGTCAATGGTGACATGGCAGACGTGTCGACGTGGCATTTGCTATGGCAAAGTAAACACTGGTTAAGTGATTAGGAAGAGAAAATGCAAACTCATAGATTTTTCATAGTTTCTACTTGTTTTATTTTAAAAAAATAGAAAAAATTAAATTCTCTTTTAGAAGAAAAAATTATTCGAAATCTTAAATATAATAAAGTAGTTAGGTTAGAAAATAATATGATTTAAATTAAACAAAAAGATTTATTATTGTAATTGTATGAGATCAAAGGCCTATTAGCTCAGTTGGTTAGAGCGTCGCGCTAATAACGCGAAGGTCGCAGGTTCGAAACCTGCATAGGCCATTAAATGTTTTTAAAATTTTCCCCTTTGACCCCATTATTAGTGCTTCCATCCTTTCTTTTTCAGACCAGATCGAACAGCATAATTGGGCCGATGAGATCCAATGGGCCTTCGTGACATGTCACGTGATCTTTTCTCTATCCTCTTTTTTTCTGACCAAAAAAAAATATGGAGGAGAGGAATCAAAATCGAACACCGAAAAAGTCGGATATCACCACTTATTCGGTGTTGTGTGGTATGATTTTTTTTTTATTTATTTCAATTTGATTTTCGTTCAAAATATATTTATTGTAATATATTGTTCATAATTTCTACAGTAATTGGAATTTGATTAATTTATTATCTAAAACTTATTTAATGAAATTGAATTAAGGAAAACCAAATCAAATCGCTTTTCTTTTTAAAATGTTCGGGGCCCGGCACGATTTTGTTCCTCGCGATTCATTTCACAGGAAAGAAAAGAAAAACTAAGTTCTCAAACTCGGAGGAAATTCCAATGCCAAGGTCTTGTTCCTCGCGTTAAATTTCAACCACCAATTCGGAGATCGTCGCCGGACGAGCAATGTTGAAGGCCACGGGTCCTCCGCCGTACGCGGCGGCTCCGGCTAGGCTCGTCACCGCTTCATGGCCCAGTCTTCTCCGTTCGCCGCCTCCCTCGCCGCTCTGTCCATTTTCCTGGAATCCGTCGCTTTTCCGGCCTCTCCGATGCGAGAGGACACACAAGCCTCTTGCTTTTATCGATCTCAGAGGAGGGAAAGGGTACATCTCTTCTCCTTCATAAATTTTCTCTTCACTCTGATTGTGCTTCTGTTGCGGAATCGATTTCCTGTTCAATCGGACCAATTTGCTTTGTGGATTCAACTTTGGCATGTCGATGTTAAGGATGTGATGATCGTGATTGGTGAATTCAAGGGTTTTGAATTATATACTAACCATTGAGCCTGGCAGAGTTCAATGGTTTGATTTCTCTGATTCCAATCTTTGAGATGTTATTTCCATATGGCAGAATGAGTGATTTCCATGAGATTGAACTCAAAGTTCGAGACTACGAACTCGATCAGTATGGTGTGGTGAACAATGCTGTTTATGCCAGCTACTGCCAACATGGTTAGTTTCATTTTGTTGCTTTGTCACTTGCTCTTTCAATGCATGCATCTCAGGTTTGTTTCCTTGAACTGGGTGACTTAAGTCTCTGTGTCCTGTGGCTTTCCCCATTGAGAAGATGGAATTTCAGATCTCGATCTCATTGCTAATTTCCCCAGTCTTTCGATATTTGTGTCAAATCTCTCGTATTCTTCAACTGGGTGTTGTAGTGTTTGTGTCCTGTGACACTATATACTCAGAAAATGGACTTGCAGATCATGATCTTGTTAGTCTCTTGACTTCATAATCAAGTCACTCCTCTCGTGTTCTTAGTTTAACTAGCTGCCAACTCTTATTAGTAGAAAACTATCCATGATTGGAGGAATGTGCTGGTCTTAAACTGCAGTTAGCTTATGTCGAGTTCCCCACACGTAAGTCTACCATTGAGCGGTGAAACCGTCACCTTTTGTGTGTATTCTTCTTCTCTCTGAGTTTGTCTACTCGTATTTCTTACAAATGTTAACTTTGTATATTGTACTTCCATAAACGGCATGTAGACTGCAAATAAGTTGTGTTGGATAAATTATATCAAGCAGTGACACAATATAGATAGCTGTTTTATAAGCATTCAACCTCAACACACAAATGTTTGCTTGCTGATATCCTTTTACAAAGGTCGACACGAGTTTTTGGAGAGTCTCGGTATCAACTGTGATGAAGTAGCTCGCACTGGAGAGGCCTTAGCAATTTCCGAGTTGTCAATGAAGTTCCTTGCCCCATTACGGGTATGCCCCTCTGAATTTAGAATCTCCTTCGAAAGAATCTGTACATATCCTGTGAATGTGCTGGTTAGATTTTGTATTTCCCATGTGTGAGGAGAGCAGAGCGGAGACAAGTTTGTGGTGAAAGTGAGGATATCAGGATCATCGGCTGCACGCATTTACGTCGAACATTTTATATATAAACTTCCAAATCAAGAGGTACATCAAAATCTCAAACCTTTTTGTTTGAGTCAGAGGGATTGATCTTTCCTTCCTAGTCATTGTTGCTTCTGTTTCTTGCATGGCACGGCAGCCTATTCTTGAGGCAAAAGCAACAGCTGTCTGGCTTGACAAGAACTATCGTCCTGTCCGTATCCCACCAGATATACGCTCTAAGTTCGTTCTGTTACTGAGGCGAGAGAGATCCAATTGAAGTTTGGTTGGAGACCGTCGGTTAGGGAACTGATGTGTTATCTGACCAGATCGAATCGTGTGAGCAGCAAGCTGAAGATGCTATATAGAATCATTGTTAGGGTTTCTATTTGTTCTTTTTTTTTTAGAATGAAATCAGATTGAATCAAAATTTATGTTGATTTAGAGAAAATTGAATCAGAAAAGGAAAACGAAGAAAAATCCACTATACAAAAATTTCTTTTTTTCTTTTTCCGTTTCTATTTTGTAATTCCAGATACTTCAAAGATCTTATTTTTATGATACTTTTTTGCAATTTTTGATGATTAAAAAAATCTCATATTATTTTGTAAGTTTAAAGAATCCGAAATGAATTGACAAAATTTTTCTTGTGTTTTTCAAATCGAAGACAAACATACTTATTTATATATATAACTCACACATAATCAATCAAAATTATAACTTTCATCGTAATTAAAACTTTTTTAGTAATGTTTGCGTATCAATCCTTTTAAATATGAATGTAAAAAAATATTTTAAGGACTAAAATCTAAATAAAACAGCAGATTTGTTTTTTATCAAAAATATAATTAATGAATTCATCAGAAATAGCGAGGAAAATGCCATGGGGTTCAGGATTTTGAATCCGTCAAATGTCAATGGGAGTGACAAAGATATAAAGAGTTTACATTAATTCTCAAATATCGGAATATGTGTTTGGTTATAGACAATAATGTCTTACATATTTCTCAAATTTATTTTATTTTTATAAGAAAGTTGGAATAGAATCAATTTGTTGACCTCGCTATATATTGGTAAATAGATATAACCATTGGGAATTTTATTTTTTTGGTTAACCTACAATAGGACATTTATATTGTTTTGGTATAACATACGATTTAATATTTACGCACCGATATTTATGTTCCACTTGATGAGAATTAAATTCTATATGCTTCGCCTCTAGCAAAATTCTCCATTTGTTTCATGTTTATTATCACGATATTATATATATATAGTGGATGTCAACAAAAAAAAATCATATTTTTGTATATTGTACCAAAAAAGAAAGGAAAAGGGCCATTTTCACTAGTCATCGCCATGAAGAGTGTAATGCTGCAAGCGACAACTGCTCCTCCGCCGTGCGCTGGGGCTCCGGCTATGGTTTTCCACCGTCCGCCTCCGCACTGTCAGTTTTTCCGGCGACCGCCGCCACTTCTCCAGCCTCTCCGGAGCAGTAAGCCTCTGCCTTTTACCCATCTCAGGGGAGCCAAAGGGTATATATGTCTTTTGATCTTACACTCTTACTCTTGTGTTTATTATGTAACTGATAAGCTCATACTTCCTAATACGCTATATTTTCAGAATACGTAATTCGAACTCGAATTCAAATGATGAGACGAGTGGTTTCCTCGAGTTTGAATTCGAACTCGAATTCACCAGATTTACGAGTCAAATTCGAACATTCCATCGTTAAGCTTCCGGAAGAGAAGGTTAGCTCGATATTTTCTCAAGTCCTTTGCCTGTTTTGATATATCGATATGTTTGGTTTGATCCTTTCTTTCGCCTTTTTACCAATCATCGTCTAACGCAGCCTGTTATAGAAGCGGAAGTGACAGGTGTTTTGGTCAACGAGAACGGCGAGCCTGTTCCAATCACACCGGAGATACATATATATATATATATATATATATATATATATATATATAATATAATAGGTTATTGAAATTGAGATCTCTCTTTCACTCCTGCAAATGATCATAACCATTTTCAATGAGAACCAAACACAATATATATATATATTCCCTGAAACATGCCATATTACACCAGACTACATTTCTGATATTACACATACATATCCCCAATACAACACGAATGACATTGGCTCTGTATCTAATCCTCCTATCTTAAAAAGCTGAAAGCCACACATGGAGTGACATTGGCCCTGCAAATGAATCCAAGGCTTTATTAAGCCTTCTCCAGCTCGGAGTTATGCTGCTTCTGAGTACCTGAAGTGTCAGTGGCCGTGGCCGTGGCCATGGCCATGCCTACCCCGTCGTTCCGGTGCTTCTCCCACCCACCAGTGTCGGCCTTTGCATGAGCCAGGTAGTAAAGAATCGACGCTGCTAAAGACAATAAAGTTAGAGCTGCTCCAGCGGCAAATACCCCGACGGGTAGAGTTGCACACGACAGGTCTTTCTGCTTGTATATGCCTTTGCTCTTTGTGTGGTAAGCGTTCCTTGCTGATCCAGCCAACAAGCATGCCTCGGCTCCAAGAAAGCTCACCCTGAAATTTTTATCCACACAAATGTTTTCAGTAATAACCGATAATCAGAATCTGCTTAGAGAATTAAGACGAAACAACAGGAATATACATGTGAACCAGAAACTGTTAACATATAAAACATAGCCAGACGAGTTCTGTCTAGAATCGGGTTGCAGAGTTTGGTTAGGACAATAATCTTCCTAAACCAAATGATCCAAAATTTGGGAGCAACGACATGAAAATATAGAGAAAACTATCTCAAAATCTCAATTAGGTATAGAGTGTTAAGGACAACAAGTTGCTGAAAGTCTTTTGCAGTTAGAAAACCACAATAATTATGCTTTAGATCAGTGATAAATCACATACTGTAGTGTATTAACTTGAACAAGCTGATAGATCATGTAATGAGAGAGGCCCGCTTCACCTGAATCATCCTTTACATATAACGAGTGAAAAAGACAAATTATAGAAGCTACAACAGTTTGAACACCTTCAAAGTTCTGATTTTTCATCTTCATCATTCTCTGACAACAAAACCCCAAGCATCAATTTACTTGGAAAGATCAGATCAACCGTCGATTAGCCAAAGACTATTGAAATATCAGAACAGTTTAATCCCAGTTCCTTGGTTTAAAAAAGCGCGAGGCGACTCAAGGCGCAAAAGGTCTAAAAACCTGAGGCACGAGGCGCAAGGCGAAGGCGCGCGCCTCATGGATGCGAGGCGCGTAAATTTTTTTTATCAAAATAAGTTTTAAATATATTATAAATATAAAATTCAAATACCAAATTACCTAGAATACTATTTTCCAAATCCATTACTCGTAGGAAAAAACACAATTGTTATTAGATATCTCTAAATCATTAAGTATTTATAAAAAACAAAAAGGCAAAACAAACAAATGAAAGAGCGTGTAAGACAAAACAAACTTACACGAATTTTTTATCACATAAAAAATAAATTTAAATTACATACCTACTAAGCTGAGCAAAGAATTGATCAGATAGCTAAGACGTGGTTTCCACTAAGGAGAGAGGAATGGAGACATGACAAATTGACAATTAATTATTTTCTTTTTTATGGGTCCTAATCCTTTTACGAACAAACACTTATCGTCTTCAAAACACTTTTTAATTCCTTTTAAATTACTTTTTTCCACTGAGGCAACGCCTCTCGCATCATACATACCACGCAGAAAAGCGCGCTTTTCTGCCGCTTTATGGAAACCGCCTCAATTTTGTCACATGATGCGATTTTGCAATCGCTTGTGCGCATCTGCGCCTCAGGCGCAAAAAAGGCGCGCTTTTTTAATCCAAGCCCAGTTCCCAATCTTCTTTGCTAAATGTCTCCTAGTGGCAGTTTAATCCATTCAATATCATCAAAAGACAACATTTTTCAAGATTACGAGGAGGCCAGGAACAGAAGTGTGAAATTTTTACCAAGAGACAACGAAGAAGACGATGGCCCAAACGGTGTAGGAAGTGCCCGTGACGAGACCCTTCCCGAAGCAGAGACACTTCGTAACGCCGTTAACCACCGTCTGGCTAACCAGAAGCAACCCGAAAGCCGACAATCCGTACACCGTCGCCGCCTCCGTTCCGTACACGCAGTACGTTGCTTCGTCGTACTGGTCCGGTACCGATTCCGCCTTAAAAAAATGCAGAAAAAGAAAACATTTACGGAAATAGAGAGAGAGAGAGAGGTAGAAGTAGAAGAAGAAGAAGAAGAAGAAGAAGAGAGAGAGAGGGTGGTACTGTGCTACGGCGGCGCTCGGCGCCGATGGCGAAGACGAAGGCGATGAGGTGAAGGGAGGTGACGACGGCGAGGATGGAGACGGAGACCGCCATTATCGTCTCTCTCGCTTCACTGGAACCTGCGCTTGTGTGTTTTAGCTTTGGCGGTGGAGTGAGACTGGAGCTCAAGGGGAAGTGGGTCTATATTCAACATAGTTTTCTTTTTGGATATTTTTGTAAACCTAAAGAAATGTGAACACACAAGCGTCTCTATCATTGCTCATCTTTTTATGCGATTAAGCCATTTGTAAATTATGAATAGGGACTGATATTAGATAAACAATATATATACATAGGAAGAAATGTTATAAGCAATTTGGATATAAATAACAAAGACAAAAATAGACCACCTTGTGAATACTGAATATAATGTAAATATATAACAATGGGCCGAATATTAAAATTCGCGTTGGGTGGGCCCTTTAATTTTGACAAAGATAGGTGACCGCATACGGAATAGCTGGATCATTGCAGCTTGTGGGCCCTACTCTCGGCCTTTTCTACCGGTAATAGCTCGTTTTGAATGGCTATTTAAATAACATATATATACCATTTTTTTTCATCTTTAAATATATATTTTCATGGGAAACGAATATTATATGGTTTCAGAAAAGATCCAGCCCACATTAACACAAGGATAATGGGCCCATCGTTTTAGGCCCGAACAATTTTCCATGATAAATGGGCCCCACATTGTGATATGTGAGCCCATCTCCCTCGACACGTGTCAAAACCAAACATTCTTGTAAAATTACGCATTCTTTGGTATTAACGTGAAGAGCTAGACCGGTTTGCACCGTAGACGGTTTAAATCCTCATGGACAAAAAGCCAAAACAACGTTTTCATGGTTTAATATTGGCCGGTTATGCTGGGCCCGGTTTTCGTTTTTCTCATCACAAACGTAAACCGATTCTAGTCTGGATGAATGGGACACGTGGTGGCTGTCTATTGGCTGGCAAAAGGTAAGCCTTGTGGATTATGATCGACAAGCTAGAACAAATCGGACTGGAGCTTTCCCATACGGTCACATGCATACGGATAACGCAGATGTGGGGGCGCAAGAATCTACGTGGCACGTACACGTCAGCAGAAAAAGCTATCACTGTTCTCACACGTCAGCAGG